ACCCCGGTGCGGAGCTCATCTTCACGGATGGCTCCAAAAAAGACAATGAAGTGGGCGCCGCACCCCTACCTCCCAACAGTACACTCCAGAGGAGACTCCATTTTCTCTGCGGAGGCCACTGTCATTGACATGACACTGGACTCCGTAGAAAATTCCCCAAACAAATCTTTCCTAATCCTTTCTGACTCTCTGTCTTACATCACCTAACTCACAAAGTACACACCCAAAAATAGTTAGGCTACAACAGAAAATTCACACACTATCAGAGACAGGAAAAAACATCATGTTCGCATGGATACCTAGCCATGTGGGCATCCGAGGAAATGAGCAGGTAGACGATCTAGCGAAGATAGCTTCATCCCTTCTGCTGGGATCAACGACAGACTGACTTTGGAAATAAAGTCAAAAAGTACACCCCCAGTCTGTGGGAGAGCCACTGGGAAAAGCAGAAAAACAATAAACTATATGTTATAAAACCCAAACTAGAACAGCCCTGACCAACAAATACCTCCTACAGGGAGATGAGAAGCCGTTCTGTGTCGGATGCGACACAGATTTTACCATTAGACACATCTTAACCGAATGTCTAGACTTTGGAGAGATCCGAAGGAAATATTATAAATGCAAGAAATTGCAAGACATTTTTTTCCGTCGCTGTTCCCAATAGAATTTTGAATTTTGTGAAGGCCATTGGCCTTTATGGCAAATTGTAAAGTGAAGCAATATTGTTTTTAAAAATGTATTGTTATTTATAAGAGTTGTTTTAAATCGCAAATATATTTACACTGAATTTTAGTATTTTAGCATTTTAAAGTCTAATTGTCGACAAACCGTGCAGTGAACTGTTGCGAATGCTACCAACTTGTGTTTGGCGCGCTCATATGACCTTACGCAGTTGCAAGTGCCGTAAAACCCTGTACTACTACTACTAGCAACTATCAAAGACAGAAACGAGTCTTCTTCTACCCCGCGGAAGGCAACGACCCCATCAGTGTACTGCAAAAGAGATCCAGGCCACCCAGAATACAGCATAGAGTTAGTGGCACAGCAGCCACCCTGGTGGAATGAAGAGACCGAGGCATTGTGGAAGATCGAACACCTGGCGCTGAGAAGACTCGAGAGATCAAACGTGCAGTTGAAAGCTGAGAAAAAGCTAGCAGATCTCAGATTCAATGAGGCAGCAAAAGAAGCCAAGGACCTAGCATATGATAACTTCTGCCAGGGCCTTGTATCAGTTCTGGAACTTCTACAGGTGCATGACTAATAGGAAGTGCAAACAAGCTACCCCTGATTTCCAACGAAAGGATGATATGTTGATGCGCAATGATGAAGAAAAAGGCCGTGCTCTGTTTAGGAGATACCTAAGACAGTTTGACAGGAAAGACGAGAACAAGAGAAAACAGCTGCTCAACAGGATCCAACAGGACTACAAAGATGAACTCTGACTGCAATTTGTTACACACGAAATGTTACATAAATATATCCAGGAAGCATCCAATACTTCTCCTGGTCCTGACAGAGTACGTTATAGCCTCATGAAGAACATGGAGGAAGGACAGACAATGGCACTAGCCGAGAGGCTAAACGAAAGCCTGTGGACTGGGGATATACCTAAAGACTGGCTGGACAGTCACCTGTCCCCAGTTTCTAAGCCAGACAAGGACCCAAGCAAGATTGCCTCATATCGCATAGTGACCATGCAAAATACCGCCGGGAAGCTGCTGGAGAAAATCGTGGCACGCAGATTGGCAATAAAGCTGGAGGAAAAGAACGCCCTACCGCCGGAACTGGGCAGCTATAGAAGAGGAAAGATCACATGGATGAATGCTGCCACTCTTGCATCCGACGTATATGATGACTTTGAACGGGGGGAAGAGTGGTAACAGCACTTGACCTGGAAGATGCCTACAACCGAGTTCAGTACGACACATGAGGACTCTAGTCAACTTGAAGGTAGATCCACATTTAGTATAAAGGATTGGGGCAGCGCTGCTCAAACTAAAGGTAGCACTACCAGGATTACCACAGTTCGCCAGTTCTGTTCAACGTTTATACAATAAGGTAATTCCAACTAGCTGGAGGGGCCCGGACATGTACTCAGTTTTGCTGATGATGTGGAGCGGATGATACAGCAGAGAGAGTACAGGAATAACTCGACAGACTTGAACAGTGGTGTGAAGCGTACAACGGGAAACTGCACCCAGACAAATCCTGTGCACTGTGGTGTACACTGAATAACCATGCAGTGCACGATGACATGCCAAGTATCTCGATTGGAGGCAAAGTGCTGAAGAGGGAACCCACACTGAAGTGCTTGGGCATCACGTTTGATCGCACTCTCTCTGGCAAAGATCACATCACGAGAACAATCTCCAGGGCGAGAAAAGGCCTAACAGCTCTTGGGATGATGGCCAGAGCTAAGATGAGCAAAAAAATCCTTGTCATCCTCTACCAGACTCTCTGTCGTAGAGACTCGGACCCTCGAGGTGTTACAAAATGAAGGAATGAGGGCAATCCTGGGGTGCACAGGAGATACCTCAACTGAAGCAATGAGATACTTCCTGGACTTCCCATGTGCATGCAGTGACCCCAACACAGTGGACAAGTCCAAGCCTTTCTGCGAGTCAGCGCAGACGAGACGAACCCTCTACATAAGAAAGTGGGACGGCAGATGACGGCTAAAGAGGGGCACAGAATGGATGACTCAAGCCACGAATACCATCAACGAGTGCTGCCAGATCAGGAGAGGCAGGGGATTGGGTTGTGGTCGATGATGCGTTCGGAGAGTACACAACAATGAAGGCAACATTGGGTAGAGAATGTCGCAACTGGCCACTTGGAGCTACAAACTCTGAAATTGAAACCCTGATAGAATAGCATAGCGAACATGGAGATGCTGTGATCTTCACGGATGGATCAGTCAACAAAGGAGTCAAATCGGGCTGGGCCTTCAGTGTCAGAGTTGATGGGGTAGTAGTGAAAGAGCGAAGTGGAGCAACTGCACTGACAACATCAAGTAAGTGTATGGAGATATAAGCCATAATTGAAGCTCTACACTGGATCAAGAACACAAGCCATCAGCAAGCAGTAATCATTTCTGACTCAATGAGCACACTACAGAAGGTACAGAAAGGGATGCTGTATGTGGACTGGAAGGCTACGATCAGGGAGATCAGCCTGGAAAGAGTGGCCTGGATCTTCTGCCCGGGTCATGCAGGGGTCACCGGCGACGAGAGAGCAGACAAGCAAAAGTGGGAGGGAATTTGACACTTGACCCAGTAATTTTCAGACGATCTTGATATCTAGATACTGCTACCAAACATGTTCCCAGACTTTAACGCTTTAGACTTTTTCATGTGGAGATATCCGAAGGACGGGACCTTTTAAAACCGGTTTGAGAACAAAATTAAAAGTTGAAAAGAAAGGGACAAAGCACTATAGTGAGTCAAAAATTTATGGCACTACTTATTGTTAAATGTCTCCTCAATCGTCAAAGATAAACGCTCCAGCTTTTGCACCGTGACTTTTGTTTAACAGATTCTGGTAAACACCTGTTAGCTCTATTGTAGAAAATTGTTTAATAAACACTGTTTAAAAAATCCCAGTTTCTACTGATTTTAAAAGGTTTGCGGCTGTTACAACGTGGCTTTTAAAAGGAAGTCCGTCAGTTTTTTCTAATCGCGAGATTATCTTTATTGAAAGCATGTTTTGGGAACTTCTAGTTCTAGGGCAAAAACATGTTCACTATAAATCAATATCTTGAAACTAGTTTTGCCTCTAAAAATATCATTGGTGAGCTGTGGCGTAAGCCATATGCGTACGCAAAATATGAGTGAGAAGCAGGAACTGTTGTGAACAATTCCTGTTTCCGCGTGAAGGAGATTTGTAGTATATAAATTAGTGAAGAAAAGTTTTTAATCAAGCCTCAATAAATTTAATGAGGAAAATATGATTTAGTTGAGACAAATCGATGCAAACTGCGGTGCAAACTATAGGTGACATTGATTAATAAGATATTTGATATACTTGCACACGAATTTTTGACCTCTGTTTAAATCAAATCAATAATCTCTGAACTGGGAAACCCACGAGCTTTTCTTTGTTAATACTGAATTTTGCGTTTAATGTTTTTCTTTAACCAGTGTGTGTGTGTGTGTGTGTGTGTGTGTGTGTGTGTGTGTGTGTGTGTGTG